TTACCACTCGCCTAGGGAGTCGCCTATGGGACTGAGCATCCCATGCCAGAACAGCTCAGATATACCTCTGTTTCTAGATGTAAACATATACTTCAGAGAATACTTGAGTATTTTACTAGATTTTATTCTAAACTCCAAGCTACCTCAACACTTTGCCCTCTTCTGCTATGACTGAAAACATAGCAGTTTCTGGGGGAAAAAATGCATCTGGTGAAAGCACCAATAGTGAGAGCCTTTGCCACCACAGAAATCATCCAAAAAAACCCTATAAAAACCCCATACGTGCTTTTAGTAATTTTCTTGCCATCTTCCTGACTTGCAGTGGTTACAGTCATGAGCATCCAACCTTGGATCTTGACCTACCAATGCTGCATACTCTCTACTTTGATACTTCGATTTGGTCTTGAATCTGCTCCATCAAGAACACCAGAAACTGATTCTGCACTTACAAAGCCAACAGACACATTGAATCCTTTCCAAATCATACACAATTGAAGATACACAGAAAATTAAGCCCTGGGTTAAGTTTCCTTCAAACACAACAGATTTTTGTACTGCTGTAAACATGACATTCTTAAGCAACAGACAACACACCCCAAAATATTGCCATCATAGAGCACGATTTGACTTGGTTATAATGGTTTCTGTGCATGTTGCTTGAAAAGAAAAGATATCCTGTATTCTGCAGAGCATTTCTATGTTTTCATAGTGACTGGCTGCCTGGGGATTGGAACTAGATGGTCTTAAAGGTCCCTTCAAATCCAAACCATTCTATTTTTTTAAATTATCTTTTCTTCAACAACTTTAAAGTAATAGAATTATATAGTCTTTCCTCAAGTTTGCCACAAAGCAATACATCAGGAAAGGGGTGTTTACCTCTTTAACTGATTTTATCCCCATGTTTACCTGCTTGCATCATAACCATCTAAAAACATGCAGAGAAACTGCAGCACATGATGAAACAACTGGGATGTTGTTTCAAGAAAACCAAAAAATCTGCCTAAATCCAAGCTGTGACTAATGGCATGCATGAAGCTGAGCAGTGTTGGAGTGTCAGTGTGAAAGTGCCATGTACAGGTACAAATAATAGAGTCACATCCTCCTCTTCCAGCCATCAGACACACCTACTTAACACAGGTGGCCCTGAAAAGAGAGGGGGCCCTTGCCAAGTGCCCCCAAGGTCAATGTATAGATTACATGGGGTGAATAAAAAACGGCATGTTGTACAAGGAGCTGTTAAAGCACGATTTACTCTCCTGACTTCGTTTAAATGACTTGTTAGGTCTCTAATGTTAAAACACATATAAATGTTAAAGCATTCAAAACTCAGTTAACATTAAACTTTGGGGTTGGCAGCGATACTGTGTTTTCACTAGGACGACTATAAAAGTATGCCACAAATTAATAATTCAATTATGCAAATACTGAGTAGAGGTATTTTTATATTTATATATTTTATATTTAAGGTACTTTACCCCTCATCTTTTTAAGACAGACATATATTTGAGATGCATCAGCTGACTAGGAAAACATCCAAAGTTAGGCAGTTTTGTTGGCATTACCCAGAAAGATTGGGTAAATTATGGAATAAATAAAACTGCCGAGACTTGTACTTTTCTAAACTAGTTGCTGCATTCCTGATTTATTAGTGAGAGCTTCAAAGGTTTTTCATAAAGATAAATAAAAGCACATGGGCAGGAGCATAATACACAGACTCGACAGCTCTAAAATACACTGTTTACAGTGAACTGGGAGAGACCAACATTTCAGGTCATACTTTATGTCTAGCAGAGCAAAACATCAGAACTGATATGACTGATAACCACTGTAAAGAGTGCAAACCCATTTTCCTAAAGATGAAAAACCTTTAGGTACAGCTGACCAGCGTCCAGCTTTAAAAAATTAATGTCTCCTGTGATCTCAGACCTTTCTCAACAAAAATCAACAGCCCTTTGGGAATGGGAAGAAAGCAAGATCTCTCTCTTACAATATGACAAACAGAATGTAAAAATGTAAAAAGTAGGACAGTAAACTGATTAGGAAAATTTGTGCATCATTAAAGTAATGCCCCTGGGCCATCACCTCAATAAATACAGGACAGCAAAGATGATGGTACTCTATCCTTCAAAACTCTCTCCCTGTGACTCACATGCTGCAATAGACGGAGAGTTGTGAGAGCAGGGAACAGACATACACAACAAGAGCAGCAGTTCAGCCAGTTTTACTCCGTGAAGAACGGAATGAGCAGAGATAGGAGTTTACAAATGACATTCTGGCAGCCTGGTAAGGTCAGTGCCAACTCTGCCATCCAATTTGCTGCACTCAGTCTTCCGCCATGTCCCATCACATCATTTCTTGGCCATACATGCCAAATACTTTTTCACTTTGAGGACTGAGCTGTCATTTTTCACTTTGTTACCCTGCCCTTTAACTGCCACTGAAGTGACACTGATGTATATCCCAGGAAAAGGAAAGACAATTCTTTAAATTATCATGTGCCAGGAATCCATTCCCTTTTAAATATTACAGTTGTTGAGTTGCTATTGCCTTGTACCTTATTAAGCCTAACACTGACAATGTTGGTGGCTACACAGTGCACTCATTAACTGGTTTTGCAGTAGAGCATCTGAAGTTAGTATCCAATTGCCTTGAAACACTGGTTTTTAATTCAAGTTCTTCTCTATTCATTCTACACATACTTTAAAAAGAGTATGTTCAGTATCTATAAGATGTTTCACAAACACGAGCTTTGGCTTTGTTTTTTTTAAAATCACTATAAGCAATTAAGGATATATAAATTAACACTGAATTTTAAAATTAATGATTAAAAATGAAAATTCCCCAAACTTTAAAAAATAAAACCAAATAAACCATCTCAAGAAACACATCTTTGATATAAAATAAAAATGACTGCTAAATGCAGTGAAGCCTTGGCATGCCAGAGTTGATTTCTGGATAGAAATATTAAACAATACTCCTGAATTAATAAAAATCATTGGCAAAAAAAATGCATGTTAATTAATTTAGCAGAGGTTTACCCTTTAAGGGCCCAGTTTCCAAGCAGGGACAGCCTTGTAGCAGAGAGTAGCTCTTGCAGGCAGTTGGGAGGGGTGGGGGATGGCAAGAAGAGCAGATAGTGGTGATTGCAGGGAGCACCTGCACGGAGCTTTCCATTTGCATCTGCACGAACCAAGACTTTCTCCAGCTCTTTGAGATCAACTCCCAGTTAGACATCCCCTGCCAGGTGTCTAACACTGCTAGCAATGATGTTAATAAGGCAGCAAAGGTCAGATCCCAGAATTCATGCTCTAGGGGATCCCACTTCTACACTCCTTGGCACCACACTAGGTATTTTCTTGGAGAACAGTGCTCCCTACCTCCTTTTAGGCATCACTAATGTCTCCTACATCCTTCACAGAAGGATGAACATCTGCCAACAGCTTGGTGGTATTTCTAACAACATTTTCATTCTCTCTAAAGTGCTCCTAGCTTCCAAATTGCTACTTGTCCTCTCTCTTAATCTTATAACAGGATTCTTCAGGATGAGAGGGAATGGTCTTGAGTTGAGACAGGGGATGTTTGGATTGGATATTGGGAAAAAATTCTTCACAGAAAGGGTGTTCAGGCATTGAAACAGGCTGCACGGGCAAGTGGTGGAATCACCATCCCTGGAAGTGTTCAAAAAGTGCACAGATGTGGCACTTTGGGACATGGTTTGGACTTGGCAGGCCTGGGTTAACAGGTGGACTTGATGATCTTGGAGGTCTTTTCCAGCCTTAACAATTCTAGGATTCTGTGACATAACCTCAATACTTAATGCAGGAAGAATTTTGAAACCTTTTATTCCTATACATCAGCAAAAAATCTGTCATGGTGAGTTCTCTCCGTGGTGGTCTGAGAGCTCCTGTGGGTGGCATGGACTTTCAGCACAGGGAAAATCAGGCTCCAGTCGTGGTCCTGGGAGGGCTTCCTCCAGCTCTAGTCAGAGCCACATAATTAGGAAGTGCCCACAGAAGTTAAAAACATTCCTGGGGAAATTCAGTCCCTCCCATACTGCAGGCACCAAGGACTCACTGGAGAGCGATGCTCCCTCAGGCTCCCTCTTCATATCCCCCTTATATCAAGCACATTTTGAGCTCCAGAAAGGAAAACCGACTTCCTGGCTCCAACCTGTGTTCTAACAGTTCATTTCAACATCAACTTTGACGATTCACAAGGAGATTTGGAATCCACTTCTGCACACTTCCAATACTCCCCATATTTTAATTTAATGGGAACTTTGGAAAAAAAAGATAAAAAAGCTTTCAGTGGCTCTTGTATTTGAATGATGATGGAAATGGCATGCTATCATTCTGGGTAATATCTGGAGTGAATAATGGTGCATTTATTTGGCCAGAACCTCACTGTAACCCAAAGATCTGATGTTTTCAGACTTCAGAGTCCATAAATATGTGCAGATGTTCTCAAAGGCTGCTAGAATAGCCAGGCTGAGCTCATGGTGCAAACAAAGCCAAAGCTCAAAAAGTTTTATGTAACATTTCAGATACGAAAAACCGTATAAATTCCCACAAACTTCTTTTAGAATAATGCCTCAATTTGAAAAGCTTTCCCCATGACAAATTCAGTTAAAACTAAAGAAAAAAAAAAATCTCTTCTCCTCGCTCTTAGCGTTGCTTTTATCCCCTTTCTTTTCCTACATATTTTAAAAATTTCACTACTCAGAAAAGCCAGGTTAATGGTCCCAGATCCTGAAATCTGCCCAAACCTTCTAAAAAGCTCTTTCAGACCAAAGAAAGCTGTCAGATTTTAGATTTTCTGCCCATTTCACCACTGACCTCTGTCAAATCCATTAGGGAACCACAGGAATGCAGGAAAAGACTTGTGCCCACTCTCTAAGAGACTGCTCATTTCATAAAATTGGACATCCAACAATAGAACAATTTTCTGTCCACACTCAAGTTCAAGTGGTCAAGCCCAAAGCCTCTAAACTTTCAGTATTTCCCCTGCATGTCTAAGCTTAAATATACCCTATAAAACAAACTTTTAGAATTCAAAGATAATCTTTGCCTGTGAATAAAAAAAACCAAATATTTTCTGAGCAACCTGATAGAGCAACAGTCCCAGCTGAAGCTTTATTTTAAAAAGCTGAAGTATCTCTTTGCAATTTTTTCATAGAAGAGTGAACATTCAATGACCAGTTCTTTGCTTACAATAAAATTAACATTCTCCAGAAGTGGCAAGTTTGCTTCAAAGCAGTCTGAGGTGTTCTGTAACACAGAACAATGCGTTGCTCCAACCTGAATGCTATAGTGAGAGCCACAGGTATTTCAGAAAAAGCAGAAAAGAAAGTGAATTAAACAGAAGGATAGAAGTAGGCAGTGTGGAAATCCATTGCAGGGAAACCAGGATAAGAAATACCAAAACTGTAGTCACATCTAAACTGCTAACAGAATTCTAATGGTTTATTTCTTGATATGTAGTACAATACTCTGTGGCTTATTCCACTCAGAAAAGCCAGAAACAGAAGAAACAAACCCTTGATAATTGCATAGGAGGCCTATATAATCTTCTCCTCAGAGCTTTGTCCTCAGGTAATGAAGTGGGATGACACCAGGATGGTTTCCTGACTGTCACTATTGCTGAGCAATGGTTGCTCCTTTAATGGCTAATGTTCCTGTGTCCCTAAAGAAAGGGAATATACTGACACTCATTGGAGAAATGTGTATTTTCTTGAAAGTGAGCCAGTTTGCTGTCTCTCAACCTTACAAGCTATATCATTAGTTATTTTCAAAGACACAGGATGAAGAGATTAAGGTAACTTGGAGCAACATGAACTACACATGATGCATTTCAGGGAATTGCCTGCTGTGCTGTTCTCCTCTTGGTAAGCAATACTCGTAAAAGTTCCACTTCATGACATGTCGAGCACATTCCCTCCAGTAAGTTGGAAGATTGAAATCTACCTAAATATCCAATTCTCAGCCAAAAAATTATATTCTGCCCTGAAGTTAAATATAGTGAAAATATGATATGAAGATGTTGCAAGAAATTGATTAACATATCATCAGCTAGAGATGCCAAAAGCACTTTTGGTCAGCTGCCTTTGGAATCAGCTGAACCCAAAGATTCACGTGTTGCCTCCTCCCACAGCAGTCCTACCACAGTCTGATAGGATGCCACATCATCAAGTTGCCTATGCAAATTGGCAGCAGTTGAGCGTAACTAATGAGCTCTAATGAGCCCATCCACTTGTACACGTAAATGTCTGCTGGGACTGAACATTGGAACTAATGGCATTTGAAGTTTGGATGGGCTGTTTGCCTTCCCCTGCCCACAGAGATTTAAGATAGCCTCGAAGGAAGCAACACCAGCTCATTTGGCTGTTTCATCATTAACCTTTATATCAGAAATATTTTATTTACACATTTCTGCATTCTGATTTACGTATCTGTCAAAGAGAACAGTCATGTGGGATCACTTTATATTTGTGAAATTCACTAATGCCCTTCTCAAAAATCATTCATCCTTACAACCAAATTGACTGTTTGTCCTTGTTCACGATCTACCTCATTTTTTATGGAAAAGGTTAAAGAAAGCATCAGAATTTCTGTCCTCTATATAATAGCCCACAATCTAGACTGGCCTAGAGCATGTGGCTTTTGTACCTGATGGCACTGCTGTGAATGAAGAGATTACTGTCCTTTGTATCAGCTTTGGCCTCTTAACCTGTACTGACCAGGCAGTTATCAATATCTAGCTCAGAGTGGAAACAGCCTTCAGCACAAAGTGAGAACTGCTTTTCCAAAATGTCCTAAAATAGGACTATTTTACATTAAAAAAAGGAGGTTTAATATATGTGTTTATGTTTGTACCTATGCTATTTTTACACATATAAAATTAAGTCTAATAGAAAAAATGCAGAATTTTGAACTTTGGTTTTACTCATTTTGGCATAACCTTGCACTGAAGTCTTTGCAAATAAACCCATAACTCCAACACAACAACATAACAAGACAGAGATCTACCAGGGGCCCAATCAATTGCCTGTACAAGAGTGGATGAACTGGGCATGGAAAACATGAACACCATTTCTTTAGTGGGAAGAAAGCATTTCTAAAGGCCAAGGACCTTCAGGTGATTTGGCAGCAGCAGCAGCTGAATGTGCTGAATGCTCTGATGGTCAAAGTGGTGATGCCTCACCCATGGAAATGATCATGGAAATGATCAAGATGCGTAACCACGCCTTGAGGCCACCAAACCCTGACTGCTTCTTTCTAGAGTAAACTGCAAGCTGCACTCAAATCTTTCCACTAAACAGCATTTTACTGCCTCTGCAGGACCAAAAATGAACCTGTTCCCATGAGCTTCCCCACAAGTGGGAAGGATTTTCCAATATGCTGAGTGGCATTACATCAATCCAAATAATGTCATCCATACAGAACTTACAAGCTGAACGGTGAAATGAGTCATTCATTCTTTCAGGAA